GGAATAACAACAGGACTATTGCTGGAGCTGGTGTGGGGCTGGAAAGGCCAAGAACTGTGTGTACCTCTGCGTGGCTCTCCCTATCCTTCTTCTAGGAAAGGAAGAGAGTTGTTTCTTCCATAGGGAGCCAGAAAGGTGGGATTTTCCACACTGAAGCAGCGGGAAGATTTCCCACACGTGGCTGGATGCCGCCCTGGACTCCACCCCGTACAGCACACGGTGGCCCCATCGTCCTTGGGCACCTTAATCTGGCAAATCCCTATCATAAATTAGGCCAATTTTTCTTCCTGTTACACCAAAAGGCAGGCAAGCCAGCCTTTCCTACGGAGCGTTTGGTCAGGATGGGGTGAAGGACCAGCCGCCGCGGGGCTGAGGGAGCTGCCATGCCCTCGGTGCCGACGCCACCCGATGTGCCCACAGAGGTCCTGGTGGTTGCATCCTTGTGGGGCCAGCGCTCAGCCCCACACTGCTGCAGAAGAAGGAAAAGAAAAGAGCAACTGTGGGTGCAGCGTGGGCAGCCAAGAAGGGAACCGTGAGTGAACTTTCCCAACGGTAATCAAGGAAATTACCGCATGCGCACGCGGCTGGAAAGCTGGAAAGGAACCCGTGATTCCCTCTACCAGAGGATATATGAAAAAGAGTCACTGCTGGTAATCAAAGAATGATTCAATTTCTGGGAGACTTAATTTGGTTCAGATGACTTCTGCAGTTGCTTCAGAGCGTGCAAAACAGGAAAACTCCACGCGATGCGGTGGCTTTTTCTCCTACAACCCTCCAGATGGTTTCAGACCTCTGTGACTTGCTGGGAAGGTCAGCTGTACTGCCATGTGCATTTGGTTACTGAAGATTTCAGTTGGAGCTTCGCCTTATTTACATTATCCGCACTCATTCGTCAGTCGAATGTGTTAATTGCGTGGTCCTGTGGTTGGGCTTTGGGTAAAGAGAGAAGGAAGCTCCAAGCCCGTTTCCTGATTTTGCTTCTTTTTAAGGGAAAACCCCCTGGAGTCAGGGTGGGCATCCCCTCCCGGGCACCTCCTCCTGCGCGCACACGTGTGCTCTCGTGTGCGCCTCAATTCCCATCCGTACAGCGGGGTTATCGGAGCTTATTTCCTCTGTCAAAGGCACCGAGATGGTTATTAATTATGAAAATAACAGCACACATCCCCATGTTAGTGACAGGCATTAGTGTAATTGCCAAGCGGAGGGCCGTGCCACGCCGTGCTCGGGCACGAGCTCTTTAAAGCAGCAACGCTTCTGTTTGCTTAATGGCAGAGCAGTTGGCATTTTCTCATCGCTGGCGTGCGAGCTGTTTGTTTTACCCTTGGCTGTCAAATCGATTTGCCGATGGGATCGTTACAGAGGTTTGCACATGACATCAGTCATTGATCCGTGCAGAGAGGCAGCGACGTGCCTTCTCCCTGCGGGCAAGTGGCAAAGCGG